ACCAATCAACCATGCAAACATATTAATCAATGTTGCAAGCTTCTCATCAACGTGACCCATCTTTGCTTTTGGGAACCTAATAATAGACATGGTTGTTTGATATGCGCAATTACGTGTTGGTAGCAGCGATTATCAATATTTTATCCATCATGAATGCTCCCAATTGATCCTTAAATCGTCGAATTTGAATTTTCATTTTTGGACCACGGGAATTAAATATCGTGTTAGTCGATATTGCATCAAAATCTCGTATGAATCAGGCTCATTCAACTCTTTCATATATATCTCACCAACACTGAGAAATCAAAGGGCTTAAAGAAAACCCTATATTCCCTAGAAAAAGCTACTCAGTGCTCACCGGCTCATGGTTCACATCTCTCTCTCTCGATCTCAATTATATCGCCGACGGTAGCCACTTCTCCCCATCCCTGTTTTCTTGTCCTTAATTTTAGCTTTGCAAACCTTTTTCCTGCATGTCATCCTCCCCCCGAACGTCAATTTCCACCCCCTTTCGGTCTCTGTTTTTCATTTCTTAATCTTCCATTCTCTTATCACTTGTTTAAACTCCCCTCTTTGTATATCTTCGACGCTAGTTTAACGAAGAAGAAGAGAAAGCCACCAATCTTCAATAATACTGTATTGTTACAGTGAAGCGATATTGTGGATTTCTTTGTCACTTATCTGTTAGAGCCTACAAATGATGGAAAAAGGGGTGGTTGATTATGATTTGATTAAATGACTCAATCTTTAAATTTTACTTGCATGCAATTTATCACCCTTCTTCATGAGCATTACTGGATCTTTTTAGTATGCTTTGATTTCTTTTCATAGGGAAGGGATTAGGTGATTAGCACACGGAAGAAGGATTGGGGAATTTGTAAACAATTATGAAGCTCTCTTTCTCTAATTATCTCATTTATTCTCGGCGTTGGTGGAGTCCAGATCCAGCATCGGAACAATCCAAGACTCGGTTACGGTGATCGCTATGGAGGCATGAAACAGATGCAGCCGTGGCTGGAACCTGTTCTGTTTTTGTGGGCCGCAACAATCCCTGGGCCCGTTCAAGTCCGCATGTGTACGGTAAGTTGGCTCGTTCCACAGATGGAAGAGAAAAAAATTGACACTCCCTATTATACTCTTCCTACAAACGCTGAAGGAGCAGGAAATTTGAAATGGGGGAAGGATTTTTTTCCTTCATGCTATAGTAATTAAAACCCCACTTTTAAATCCGGAAGCAAGTAAACACTATCACAAAACATCATATTGTAAAAACTTATCTGTAATCATGAGGTTGCTTCACTCAAAATAAACTATGTTTTATATGTTGAAGATCAGCATTATCGCTTGAATAGTTCAATTCGGCAATGATCTCAGCTCTTACATATAAATTTTGTGTAAAAGTGGTATGATTGAAGCTATTCCCTATGTCACACTAATCAGAATAGTCTTTGTTTACTGGAAACTAACCACCAAAACATTTCAAATCAGAAAAATGATGATACTGAAAAGGAGTATCATAACAAAAGCAACAAAAAGTATAATTATTTATCTTTAATCAACTAAAAAGTCAACCTAGAAGATCAAACAAATGAACAACTGTTAAGAGATAATACATTACTATCAAGAAACTAAATAACCCATTAGTCAGCTCTCCAAGCAAGAACACTCAACCTTTACATATATATCCCTCCGAAAATTGCTTTGTGTAACAATATAGGTGGGGGAGGATATGCGGTTGTCGAGTCCGATGGGAAGGTTTGGAGAGATGGTGATGGTTGAGCCTTTAGTAGGACGGGAGCCCAGGACACTGTTTATCTTTAATAAACTCAAAAGTCAACCTAGAAGATCAACCAAATGAACTGATGTTAAGAGATCACACATTACTGTCAAAGAAACTAAATAACCCACCAGTCAGCTCTCCAAGCAAGAACACTCAATCTTTCCATATATACCCCTCCGAAAATTGCTTTGCTTAACAATATAGGTGGAGGAGGTTAGGCGGTTGTCGAGTCCGATGTGAAGGTTTGGAGAGACGACAATGGTTGAGTTAGTGGCTTAGCTAAATGTGATGTAAAATTCCAATGATTTTTCAAATTTAAGCTTCCTGTATGTTTTTAATTTAAAAAGTTTAAACAAATTTATTTAGTGTAACTGGTTATGTTTCTTGTCTTTTCTCAAAGAGACAAAATTCAAATACGATCACTTATGTATTTTTCCTGCGAAAAATAAAATAATAAATGGTTGTGAAGACGAATCTACCCTTCCTACTTTTGCTATGGATGCAGGGATTTTGTAATGGGGAAGCACATTTCCCATTTCACACTTATATTAGGTGTACCGAAAGTAACCTGGTGGTTGAGTGTTTAGTGGGTCGGAAACTATTTGGGCATTTTTACATTAGTAGCACATTTTCCATTTGCGTTAGGTAAAACCAACAACACTGAATCTTTCCATATTTACCCCTCCAAAAATTGCTCTGGCTTAACAATAGAGGTAGAGGAGGTTAGCCGGTTGTTGAGTCTGATGAGAAGTTTGGAGAGACGGCAATGGTTGAGCGTTTAGTGGGTCGGGGCACTATTTGGACCCGTTTACATTAGTAGTGTCTTTTCCATCCGCGTTTGGAAAACCAACATCACTCAACCTTTCCATATTTACCCCTCTCTTAAAGACACATGTGCCCCCATATTCACTCAAAAGTTCTGTGTTTAAAAATATCGTTACTTTATGATAGTTATAACAATTAAGTCTATGTTAAGAATTCTACATCGCTTCTACACATTCAAGAGTGCAATTCAATATTTGCAATATTTTGAATCAATGACATTTCGGTTGCTAACCGTGGTGGAAAGTCTTATATTTTTCAGATTTAAGCTTCTATATGTTTTTATTTGAAAAACATTACACAAATGTGTTTATTGTAACTGGTTATGTTTCTTATCTTTGTTCGAAGAGACCAGGGTTCAAATCTCATCACTAATGTATTTTTCTCTAAATAAGATAATAATAAGTGATTGTGAAGACGAATCTATTCTTCCTACTTTTACTTTGGATGCAAGAAATTTAAAATGAGACTTCAAGTTTTCTCATTTGGCTTTTATTTATTGTGTAGATTGAATATGTCACGTAGTCCAAATTCACCACATTATTTAAATGAGGTGGATGAACAAATAATATTTTCATGGACCAGGTTCAGACTCATAGAGGCCTAACTAGTGATAACAGCTCTAGAATTTAGGCCTCATACATTTTAAGCCCAAATAAGAATATGAGGCCCAAAATGACGAGCCCACCCTGACCGTCTTTCTCATCTACATTTAACATCTTCTCTAGGGCTGCAAATGAGCCAAACTGTTCACGAGCGGCTCGGTGCTCTGCTCGAAGAAAATTCGTTCGATGCTCGGCTCGTTACTTAATGAGCTGGCTCGTTGGCTCGTTCGTTTACTAATGAGCCGAGCCTGAGCCAGGTCTTGTTCAGCTCACCAGGCTCGTGAGCTAGCTCGACTCGATGGCTCGTTGAGCTTGGCTCGTGAGCCAATTCGATTGAAGCTCACGAGCCAACTCGATATTTGTAGCTCACGAGCCAACTTGATAGTATAGCTCGCGAGTAAGCTCGATTGAAGATCACAAACCACTCCATATTATAGCTACTGATAAAATTCAATTAACTTGTGGGTTAATTTTACTAATAACTCTTTAGATCATTAATCTACCTAGTTTTCATCATAGATTTGCTTACACTATTTATTATATATATATTATAATGTGCGAGTTTGCTTACACTACTATATATCATATGATTTGTAAGGAACATATATATGTATATATATGAGGAGTTCTACAGTACTCGGAGTGAAATCCGGGGTACCGCATACCTTGAGTATGAAAACGCTATCCAGACCTTGAATAGACTAAACTTTCGGACATGATATTATATTCTTATCCTTAAAGATCAAAATCTAGGTCTTAATTCTCTAAATCTTATACCCTAAGATCAATTTAATTAGAAACAATAATCGACGGTTGTGATTCGTCCAAATATAGGCAAAAAATGAATGAACCATCTTAGGGTTTATAGTTTATGATTTAGATAATTAGGACCTAGGGTTCACCCATTAAGGGTTATGGTATATTATTAGGCACAAAAATCCTGCAAATTCGTGGTCTAAATTGCGTTTTCATACTGGATAATTATATATGGACTTATCAAATTTGATTTTGTATTTGAAAATTATATTTTAACTTTTTTATACTGCATAACTATAATATGATTTAGATGCAGGGTTACTTTGTTTGGTATATAATAAGCAATCGTCTTTTTTGAGTTTCACGTTTAGGGATTGGGGTTTACATCCTTTATATAAATAATAATGTATAATGCATTTTATGTCTTTGTTTATCATAATAAATTAGGTGGGAATTCATTTTCTAATATTATGTAACAGTGGTAAGTGAGATCAGACAAATAAACAATGTGGAAAAGGATTAGGGTTTCGCTAGCAATTCCTTTTAGAGCTTCTAAAGTCTAAAACAAAGAGAACAGAGAGAGGGTTCTGCACTTCTGCCTATTTCTCTCTTCCGCCTCTTCTGCCTTCCTTCGATGAAAGCGCTAATATGCCCTGAATCATTTTCTTAGTAACTCGATTCTCCTTCTTACTATTCATAGTCCGGATCTCCTTTATCAGCAAACAGCCGAATCTTGAAACTTCTTCTTTCATCTAAAACGTGAATCTCTCTCTGTTCGTCAACCGCCGAACGCAAGTCGCCACTATTCGCTAGAGGATCAACCACTTCTATACCCAGTGTAAGTTAATGGATTAGATTTCCATAGTCTATTTTGATTTTCTTTTGAGTTTTTCATTGCAGATCTAGGGTTTTACGTTTTTTTAATAAGGTAGGGTTTCACGATTTTATTTAACTAGTCTTGCTTCCTAGCCTGTATTCGGAATGGATTCACTTATTGACTGCATATTCTTGTACTTTTGAGCAGTTCTCTGAAGAAAATGTCTTCAAACCCAACTGAGTCGGTCACTAACTCGAGTTCCATCCCTGCACATGCTTCCAACACTACTGTGGGGGGTGATGAAGCTAATAGAGCAAACACCACTGAAGCCCAAGCATCTGAGCAGAATGATCCAGAAAATCCGTATGAAAAAGCTAAGAGGGCAAAGACTTCTGAAGTTTGGAATCACTTTCAGGTGTTGCAAACAGAATCAGGGGCCAAAAAGATGAACCAGTGCAGATATTGCAAAAAGGGCTACCCACCTTATAGCTCAGGTGCTACAACAACAATGGCTAGACATCTTTTGGTGTGTCCCCTTAAACCCTCAACACTCCTTGAGAAAGGACAGAAACAACTCAGCCTTTCAAACAACTCTTGAGCATGCTGAAAGTCTCATTTCTGTGCAGAATTTCAAATATGATCAATCGAAGGTGCGTGAGATCATGGCTCATTGCTTTATAGTGCACGAAATGCCTTTTATCACTTCAGAATATGAGCTATTTAACTTGTTGCTGAGAACCATGAGTCCAAACTATCAGAAAATTAGTCGAACTACTATCCAAACAGATATTTTCAAAACATATGGTATCCATAAAGTGAAGTTGAAGAAACTTCTTCAAGGAGTGACTAGGATGAGTGTAACTACTGATTTGTGGCAATCTGTTCAAACAGTGGGTTACATGGTTGTTACTTGTCACTTTGTCGATAAGGATTTCAAGCTCCAAAAACGTGTTCTTGATTTTTGTGATGTCCCACCACCTCATACGGGAGTCGCTATTGCTGATGCATTACAAACATGTTTGGCTAATTGGGATGTTGAGAAAAAAGTGTGGACTGTTACAGTTGACAATGCTTCTTATAATGATGTTGTTGTAAGAAATCTAAAAGAAACACTTAGCTTTCAAGGTAGGCTGTCTCTTGATGGAGATGTGTTTCACGTTAGATGTTGTGCTCACATTGTTAACATTTTGGTGCAAACTGGACTCAAGGAGATTGGTACAATTATTGAGAATGTTAGAAACAGTGTTAAGTACATTGCTGCTTCAGAGAGTCGAGTCAACATGTTTCGAGATGTTGCGAAACAGCTAAAGTTGTCTAGGAAGAAGCTTATCTTAGATTGCCCCACTCGATGAAATTCTACCTATAACATGATTTCTACTGCATGTTCTGTGAAAGTTGCTTTGCTCGATATGCCGAAAGGGATTCAACATATATTTGGCTGCCTTCTGAGGAGCAGTGGCAAATGGCTGCTAATATTTGTAAATTTCTTGAGCTGTTTAATGATATCATCACACATATTTCGGGAAGTGATTATCCTACGGCTAACTTATTTCTTCCTGAACTTTGGGATATCAAGAACTTGTTGAATGAGACTTTATTATCTAAGAATGTAAACATACAGCTTATGGCTTCTGAGATGCTGGAAAAATTTGACAAGTATTGGGGGGAGTCTAATTTGATAATTTCTATGGCTGCTGTTTTTGGATCCAAGAAACAAGTTTAAGATGGTTGAAGAATGTTTTCCTGGTCTATATAATGGAGCTGATTCTGGGAGGGAGATCAGAATTGTTCATGATAAACTTTATGAACTTTTCAATGAGTATGTTGAAGACTATAAAGCTAAGAACATAGGAAACTCAACTGAGGTAGATAATGACTCAGTTTCTTCTTCTACTGCTTCTACTACTTCAAGTGTGGTTGGAAGAAGAAGAACAGGCAGGGCAAAGTTTGACTCCATGATCCGAAATGTGGATTCTGTTACAACAACAAGATCAAAATTGGATGTTTATCTTGCTGATGGGTTTTATGTTGTGCCGACAGATTGTACTTTCGATGTTATTGAGTGGTGGAAGGAACAAAAATTGGGTTATAAGGTATTGTCAAGAATGGCTTGTGATATTTTAGCGATTCCTATAACTTCAGTTGCCTCTGAAGCTGCCTTTAGTGCTGGAGGAAGAGTAATCGATTCAAGTCGTGCATCTTTGGGGAAGAAAACAATTCAGGCTCTTCTTTGCTCTCAGGATTGGTTAAGAAATTATTATGCCATGAAAAGGAGTGTGAAGGTAATTCTAAACTTGCTTTTCTTATTCCAATTTCATATAGTTACCTTTCTTATAACTCTAATCCCTTTTTCCTTTCCCTGGGCAGGCCATGACCAAGAGGAAGTTGTTGTTGAAATAGACTTTAATTAATGCATTGGGTTAGTTTCTATTGATTTTTTCTCGTTTAAGACTCTTGCTAGTTTACTTTTAATGCTGTTACAGCCTACTGTAAGATAACTTGTGCTGGATTTGTGGATTTTATGAGCTGGTTTTGATTTTACAGCTCACTTTTGCTCCATCTTTTGGAACCCAGACCAAGTTATGTACGTACCTATCCATCAACCTTTACTTTTAATATTGTTACAGCCTACTGTAAGATAACTTGTGCTAGGATTATGAATTTCATGAGTTGGTTTTGATTTTACAGGTCACTTTTGCTCCACCTATCCATTATAACTCATTTGGGTTTATGTGTGCAGAGTTTGAATTAACCAATGGGAAGCTGCTGCCATTTTTTGTCCCTTTGTAGGAGCCAACAGGTTCTTTTGTTTAGAAGCATATGCAACCTGGGGATGGAAGCTTTTGAAGACATCTAGGATAACTGATGTAGAGTAGCTTGACTCTAATTTCGATGAATGTAAATTGATTTAAGTGTACTGTAGCTTGACTCTAATTTCGATGATTGTAAATTGATTTAAGATAGAAACTTGTATTTTGAGGAAACAAGTAATCAGGTCATGGATGATTGTAAAGAGATGTCAAGGTTTACATAGTTATAATTTGTGTTGAAGGAAGAAATTTCAGGTTTTGCCCAGCTTAATTCGAGTCGAGCTCGAGCTTTGTATGAGGCGAGCTCGAGCTTTGTTCACGAGTTAAGCTTATTAATGTTGTTCGCGAGCTATTTTCGAGCTCGAGCCGAGTCGAGTTCGAGCTCATATATTTAATTTCGAGTCGAGCTCGAGCTTCTGTTTTTGTAACTCGTCTCGAGTTAGAGCCGAGCTCGAGCTCAAGTTTTGGCGATCGAGCTCGAGCTGACCTTAGTCAAAACTCGACTCGGCTCGGCTCATATGCAGCCCTAATTCTTCTCCAGCGATTTCTTCCCTCTGAAACCTCGATTCTTCTTTTCTGTATTAATCCCCTTTCGAAATCGACCAAATTATTGTGCGCCAGCCACCTCCAGTGAGAGGTTGGAGCTCTCCGTTCGCCTCGCCAACCTTCTCAGCGGTGATTATCAACTTGGAAAGCACCATGAGTTCCTCTAGCAACAAATCGAGGAACTTCCGCCGCCGACCAGACCACGACGAGCCCAATCCCGACGACGCCGCCGCTGCAGTCGCCCCGTCACCTGATCCCTCACGTAAACCGGCGCCACCGGCACCTTCCTCTGCTTCCGGTTCTTCCAAGCCGAAGAAGCTTCTTAGTTTCGCCGACGACGAAGGGGAAGACGACGATTCCGCCGCTGTCACACCTCTTAATCTTTCTTCCCGCCCTTCTGGTAGGCGTAAACCTCCTTCCTCTTCGGCTTCTTCTTCTTCTCGACTGGGAAAACCTAGTTCTTCCTCCCACAAGCTCACCGCCTCCAAGGACCGAGTTCCTCTTAGCTCCCCGGCTACCACCTCCAATGTCCTTCCCCAGGCTGGGACTTACACAAAAGAAGCCCTTCTCGAGCTCCAAAAGAATACGCGCACCCTCGCTAAACCTTCCTCCAAGCCCTCTCCTGCCTCCGCCTCCTCTGAGCCTAAGATCGTTCTCAAGGGCCTTCTCAAGCCCGCTCCTCCCTCCCCCCACCAAACCCTAGGAGACCGCCATGTTTCTGATCATCTTATTAGTAACAATGCAGACGATGATGACGACCCATTTGAAGATCGATTGGCGTCAATGGGTTTGGGGAAATCGAAATCCGGAATCATCCCTGACGAGGAAAGAATCAGGAAGATTAAGGCAGAGAGGGAGAAGAAGAGGCACTCCAGTTCTTCTGCCCCTGACTTCATCCCTCTCAATGGAACTACTAATGATGCTCAAGGGTCGAGTGACGATGATGACGAGCTTGAGCTTAGAACCCGTGTTGCTTTGGTGGGCAGGAAAGACGGCAACACTCATGGCGTCTTTGAGGATGTTGATCATCTTCCCCCGTCTGCTGCTGTTTCGGCCAGATATACGAATGTGGTTGAAGATGTTGCTAATGATGGTGGTGATGATGATGAAGAAGCTTACAAAATTTGGGAACGAGAGCAGTTAGGGAAGGCCTTGGGGAAGAGAATGGATGATGCTTCTGCTGTTGCTACTAATAGAGCTGTGGCAGGTGGTGTCAGTTCTCATAACACTGCCACGATGATGATGCCACCACCTCTACCACAACAGCAGCAGCAGCAGCAGCAGCATAGGGTCAGTAGTGTGTACCCGAACATTGGAGGAGGTTTTATGGCATCTCAAGGGTTGGATAACTTGACCATTCCGCAGCAGGCCAAAGTTGCTTCGAAGGCATTGCAGGATAATTTCAGGAGGATAAAGGTATGTCTGCCATTCTTAGCTAATCATTCTGTTCTTTGTGCAGAAGTGATCACTTGGCATGATGGTTACAAGTTACAGCCTGTGCTCTCTGTTTGACGCACGAGCAATGATTTGATGACCATCGTTACTTTGCCTGTCTTTCTTGCTGTCTCGCAGGAATCTCATGATAGAACTGTTTCAGCACTAGAAAGAACTGACGATAACTTAACTTCCTCGCTGGATAATATTACTGCTCTTGAAGGGTCCTTGTCAGTCGCTGGTGAGAAGTTCATCTTTATGCAAAGGCTTCGTGACTTTGTTTCTGTTTTATGTGACTTTTTGCAGGTATGGGTCCTCTATTTCTTTGTGACTGCTGAATATACTGGGAGATTTTTGCAATCTGATCTTGTTGAACATACTTCTAGACTTTAGCAGCTTGTTAGTTTACTGGATTCTTCTTTCGACTCAATCAAATTAATTTTGCATATGTAACTGTTCCACTAGGTGGAGAATGGCGAGAACCAGATTTTTAAGTCCTCTTGGTCAGTTCTTAAGTACTGATATTATTTAGTCAATGAGAGGAAGGGAGAGGAGGCTTGTATTATTAGGGCTATATGCTTCTAATATCTTTTATGAACTCAACCGTGTGGGCATAGACACTGAGAGAGGGGAAGTGGAAGCTAAAATCTTTAGTTTAAGGTTCAGAGAATGATGTGTAATTTACCAAATTTGTTCTAATACATCAAAAGGCAAAAGCATTTGTGCTGACTATATATGGCTAAATAATTTTTGTTCGGTATTCTGCTGGTATTTTGGCTTCAGCCAATTATTACAGGCATGACTATCCCAAGAGTAATCCTTCAGTCTGAACAGATTCTGCCTCTTTAGGAATTATTTTATGCCTTCTAAATAATTTTTGTTGAAGAGAGGTTCTGTTTTGCTGGGCGAAGCTTGTTTATAACCTCTGAAGATGCTTAGCAAATGATACGCCTTTAAAGTTGTAATATGGCCTGTGATTAGAGCTTGAGGTCTGAAAATAGGAGTTTCTTTTAAGGGGCACTTCTTATCAGGAGGCAGGGACTGTTGCTTGATATACGTATGCTTACTAGTTGTCTTTGTCCTTCTCTTTCTTTTCCAGGATAAAGCTGCGTATATAGAGGAGCTTGAAGAGCGAATGCAAAAGGTTCAAGAGGAACGTGCAGCTGCTATTTTGGAACGAAGAATTGCCGATGATCATGATGAAATGGTGGGAGTAGATGCAGCTGTCAAAGCAGCAATGATAGTCTTCAAGGAACGTGGCCACTCTGCATTAATGATTAGTGCTGCTGCAGGTGCTGCGCAGACAGCTTCAGCTGCCTTGAAAGTTCAAGAAAAAGCAACTCTACCAGAGTTAGATGAACTGGGTAGAGATATGAGCATGTATAAGCGCATGGAGATGAAGCGGCGGGCTGAAGCCCGTCAACGTAGGAGAGCTAAGTTTGATTCAAAGAGAATTTTATCATCAATGGAAGTTGATGACAGCTCTGCTGAACGGAAAATAGAAGGAGAATCAAGCACTGAAGAGAGTGAGAGCGAGAGTGAAGCTTACCGGTCGAGTCGGGATAGGTGTCTTGAACCAGTGGATCAAATTTTGAGCGATGCCTCTGAGGAATTTTCCCAGCTTTCTGTGGTAAAAGAAAGATTAGAGAAATGGAAACAGGAATATGCAGGGAGCTATCGGGATGCGTACATGTCGCTCAGTGTACCAGCAATCTTCTCTCCCTATGTGAGACTAGAGCTTCTTCACTGGGACCCTCTTCGCAAGTCTGATGACTTTTTTGACATGAATTGGTATCTGCAGATCCACTTCTCATTTGGAATGGTTGATTTTGTTTGAGTTTCTGGTTTTTCTTTGGGTGTGTGTTTTAGCAGTCCATGTGACAGATACATTCTGCGAGTCCTTTAATTTATTTTGCACTGAACAGTTGTCCTTTACTTCATGTGCAGGCATTCTCAGTTATTCAACTATGGTATACCAGAGGGAGCATCTGATTTGAATTCAGAGGATTCCGACAGCAACCTTATTCCTCAACTGGTGGAAAAAATTGCTGTCCCTAAGTTGCATCACCAAATCGTCCACTGTTGGGACACGCTCAGTACCCTGGAAACAGGAAATGCTGTTGCTGCCACAAGCATGGTGATAAATTATGTTCCAGCCTCAAGTCAGGCTCTATCAGAACTATTAGTTGCAGTCCGCACTCGACTTGCTGATACAGCATCCAACATTGTGGTATATCTTCTCTGAAATGTTAAGAGTCCTTAAAACGATCATAACTCCTTTTCCTATATGTAAGTGCGTGGAATCTGAAGTTAAAAATGTTACATGCTTTGGATGTAGGTCCCTAACTGGAGCTCGCTCGTTCTAAAGGCAGTCCCCAGTGCATCGCGAATAGCAGTGTATCGGTTTGGAGTCTCAGTTCGTTTGATGAGGAATATCTGCTTGTGGAAGGATATTCTAGCGATGCCAGTTCTGGAGGAGCTTGCTCTGGATGAGCTCTTGCGCAGGAAGGTCCTGCCTCATGTTCAAAGCATTTCGTCGGACGTTCATGACGCGATTGCCAGAACTGAGAGGATTGTTGCTTCTTTATCCGGGGTTTGGACTGGTCCAAATGTCACCGGGGATCGCAGGTACTTGCAGTCTTTTCTCAGTTTGCTTCAGCTTCGGTTGACTCTTTGTTTTATTTTAAGTTTAAAGTGTTACTGGTGAAGATTCTAAAATAAAAATCTCCAGTTCATAGGCATATGAAATGTTCATTCCGTCTTCTTGTTTCTCAGCAACGTTTTCTTAAGCTAAAAAAAGTACACCTGATTTATTTCCTCTTCGGGTTTTACTTACTCTGTTTGAGCATTTGTCTACATGGTCTGTATTGCAGTGGCAAGTTGCAGGTGCTGGTGGACTTTGTGGTATCATTAGGAAGGACACTGGAGAAGAAGCAGGCAGCTTTGGGGGTGAGCGAGGGGGAGACTAGCGGGCTTGCTCGACGCCTGAAGAAGATGCTGGTTGAGCTCAATGACTACGACAATGCACAACGCATTGCGAAAGCCTTTCGTCTGAGAGAGGCTTTGTAAGTAATAATGTGATACGAAGGAAGAGCGTAGTTTACCGAAGCAAGGCGATGAAGGGACTTTAACTGGAGAAGAGATAGAATAGGAAGAGGCCATGCTAGCGTTGTTTCTGTTGATCGATTCTAGTAATATGTCGGCAACAAGCTTTGATCTTGTTTCTCTCATGTACAACATCAAGCAGGAGAATTGCATGGATGTTGTGCTACAACTTCAATCTTTACCTAGAATTTGGTAGTAACGCAAACGAAAGAATGTGGCTTTAAGCCAACAATGTTGTTGCTCAAATGGTTATGTTATTAGATATTGATCTAAACCAGGCCAACATTGCAGGCAACAATAAGGAATATATCACACGCATCAAACCCCACACATATCACAAAGACCAAAAGGCAATCGAATTTTGCCCTTTGCCACCACTCTTTATTGTTTCTCAGTTGAACAAATCACAGCATATACCCTTTCTATGTTTTCCACCCCTGAACTTACACCACTTGCTCTAAAACCCCTCCAAAAAAGAAAGGCAACCAAAATCAACCACAAGAGGAAAAGCAACTGAAAAATGGAAGTAAACTTGATCAACATGAGCTGATTCTTCACAACCCAATCCAAAAATGGAGAGCCAAAGCTCGAAACTTTCCAAAACCCACAACACCAAACTCTCCACCCATCATTCGCTCTCCACGAGCAAACAATAGCGCGAAACTTACCCAAGTTCCAAATCCAATGAAAGAAAAAAGACCTGCAATCACAAACAAAACATCAGTCAGTTCCCCCAACAGCACCCGAAGCTAGTTTAGCAGCTACGATAATTTGCAGAAGCTTCGGATATTTAATTGATTTGGAATGTAAGATACTAGAACCATACAAGTAGTAGGAAACCATATATGGTAGTGCATGAGAGCATGGAGTTAAATAATTTTGATTAACATCTGCAACTTCAAGATATTTAAACAAACCTGACTAATGTTTTGTTTTCATTTTATCTACTGTCCTGCAAAAGGGTTGATAGCCATGCTTCAAAAACCATCCAGAGATAGGATGGGATAATGCTATTAGGGCAGAAATGGATATTACTAGGATAGAAGTCGTATGAAAACCACGGAAAGCTGCTTATGCATGCATAACCAAATGTCGACTCAACAAAGCACCAAAGAGAATAGTGCAGGACGAAAGTTCTAAATCTAGACAAACTCAAGCCTGTCTGTGGCCCATGTAAAAGTTCTCAATGCAGCCGAGCATAGCAAAAAAAAAAAAAATCAAGTGGAACTTATCATCAATCAGGTGTACAACAAAATTAACTTGGACCCATTTCCCTGCAGAAGGCAGCAACAAACACAGCTTTTCTTCAGTGGATAGATTAGTACATCATCACCAAAATCTCTGTTTGTTCATAGTTGAGTTCTTCACCTAAGATGTTTCAAACGCAACTAGTTTGCGTATTCTGAAGTCATATTTTATGCTCAAGCAATCAAATACATAAACTAGGCAACCCTACTAGTTAGCATGTTCATCGACTGATATCAGATTTCTATCAGAGCATCCTCATTTTGGATATTGATGGAACTAATACAAGCACATAATTCCGGCTAAACTCTAGCTCAGTAACTTTGCTCACAACCCTAAAATTAGTTTTTCCAGGACAGCTAGAAAGCAAAGGAACAGGGTGTGGCATAGCCGAAATCCAATAGGTCAAAGCTACTAGATGAGCAGATGAATGCTTACCTGTATTTGACTGGTAGCAACGTAATCCTTTTGCAAGATGAACCACCAAAAAATCAAAAGAATCTGTCTAACAACACTCCAAGAATGCTCAACTACACAAAGTATCAAAATGACTCCAACATATAGTGAAGCTTTGGAGCCCGACGACGAAACAGTGGCTCCAACCTAAAAGATGGAACACCAATCTCCCACCTCTTAGCATCATACATTTCATTCCATGCTTGTACTATCTCATCAATTTTGAAGCTCAAACCTGCAAGAGTGGCAAAGTACAATTACTAAAAAATCTCAACATTTCTAAAGTCCTACCGCATGTACAAAAGAGAAAAATGGAGACGAATTAGCAGTTGTGAGTCAGTATCTGCATACTTACCATCAAAAGCTGTTACATTGGAACAGTGATTCTTTATCATAACTGCTATATCTGTTGGAGAAGCTCCAGCAAGTTCAAACTTTTCAACGGCAACCTCCAGACATTCTTCCCAAGTTGGCAGCTCTAGCCTATACTCCACAACAGAACGCTCATACAACATAGTACCCCATAAGAGGTTTATCTGGGAGCTCATGTTTGCCGCCTGCTCTGCAGCTTCTTCAGGTGATAGCTCTTTCAATAGATTATCCAGCCCCAATTTCTCTAGTTGACATTTATACTTGTCAAATTTGGAGATTCCGTTTTGGCGTTGCTCCCCAATCTCCTCCCACATCTGCATACCTCTTTCCATGCAGTCTTCAGCCTTGTTGTACAGGTCTAGCACCTCTTCAGAAGGCCCATTCTCCAAAACGATCTTGCTACCAATAGCATGATACCAACAAAGCTTTGCTTGCTCAAACTGCTGCTGACCAAGTGCCAGAAGACTTTCATAGAAGTCTGGTTTTAATTTAAGGGCCTCATGGTATCTCTCTCCGGCCTTCACGTATTCAGTCTTCCCCCATTCATAGGCACTCTTAACTAGTTCCAGTAAGGTTTCCCTGGAACCATCTTCAGGGAAAAAGACCCGCTTCCTAGCTCTTGACATGTGAACATTCCCCCAATTGAATAAGGCCAATGCTGCCATCTCTTGAAATTTGTCAACAGCAATATCAAACAGCTCCTGGGCTTCTTCACTTGTTACAGTATCCTCCATTGCCTCTGAGTATAGCTTCATCCCCAGTTCATGAATATCCAGGTAATTATCAGAATCAAAACCGACATGGTTCTTGAACAATCGTGCAAACTGGATAATCCAATCATCTATGGAAGCAGACTCGATTTGGGGCTCATTGCTTCCTCCCCCACCATTCCCGTTCTCAGGAGCAACAAGAGTTTGTTCCTGACTGCTAACATTTGCATTCTCATCTGTCTTTGTTCGCTCATAAGCTGGCTCTAGATCCAGGCTGACCTCAACAACATAGAACTTGAGAGATCCTTGTGAACCAATAGATGATTCTGCTAACCTCAGCTCATCCGTGGAAGTAATAGTAACCAAATCACCCTCTTGGTCCCTATACTTCACAAGAACACCTCTCAAGCCAGGAAACCTGTCTCGCACTATATCCCTTAGCAACCCAACGGTACAATTCGCAGGCAACTGTGCCCACCTTATATCTTCTCCTAAAACCAACTTCACGGACTTGGAAATTGGCTTCTCTTCTTCCTTAACCTCTTTATTCACCAGTCTCTCCGCCTGAACAGTCTTCACAATCACTTCTTTCGTCTTAATCACAGGAGTCACTTGCTTCTCCTCCACAACTACTTTCTCTTTCTCATCTGCCTTCTTCTCCTCTACTTTATCACCTTTCTTCTTCTTCTTTATCTTCTCTTTCACAACTTTGCGCAAACGAGAGGCACCAACAACCTTCTCTCCCTCCTCAGCAGCAATGGACTGTTCATCAAAACTAATGCCCTTATCAGCCATAGCCTGTTTAATACTTTCGATAATCTCCAGGGCAGCAGAGTTATTGGGTTCCATGGTCAAAACATGCTTAACATCTCTCCAAGCCAAATCCAATCGATTTAAGGCTTCATAACATCTAGCTCTCTTCAACAAGGCCTTACTGTATTTGGGAGATACCTCCAAAGCCAAATTACACTCGTTAATAGCACGAGGATACTCACCAAGACCCATCTGCATATAGCAAGCGGCCATGTTGGTGCGCAGATAAGCAACATCGATATGGTTCTTGGGAAGTAGCTTGACGGACTTTTCATACTTCAACATGGCCCCTTCATGGTCACGCTTCTGGAACAGCCTGTTGCCTTCTTCTTTGAGCTCCAGTGCCATGTTGATGAAGATTGTTGTGTCCTCGTCAAAGGCCTTGGAAGACTTGTCAGATGAGCTCTTGGGCAGCTGCTTAACGTTGTTGCTGCTGCTATCGCCTCTGGGCGTCCTGGGGGATTGAGGAGCAGTCTTCTTCCCCGTTGGCTTTCCCATTTGCCGATTGCAACTTTTTTCTTCAGGGATCTACGGAGTCAGCAAAAACAAGCAATCAAAGACAGACCCCAGGAGAAATCACAAGTTGGATTCTATTCTATTCTAATCAAAACATCCCCAGCTGCCCAAGGAAGATCAAGATAACTAGAGGCCACAAACGCCGAAACCCAGTACAGCAAAGGACGGGAAGAAATGAAAAATGTGCAGAAAATCAATAAAGCTCCCAGCTTTACAAATTCAACGACCCCGGGAAAACGGGGAGAATGAATTAAAAGAAGAAACAAAGGAGGAAAACAGGGGAAACCCAGAAGAGGGACAACGGAAAAAAGCCCCTTTTTATATCCCTCTGGAAGAACTCTGAATCAATTGTCTCTGTATGACAGAGATTGACAGAGCCAATCCAGATAGACAGGTCAGGTTTGGTAGGGGATAATTTCTTGGTGTGCAGAAATGGAAAGGTAGGCTTCAGGAGGGAAATGAATGTGCAGGGGAAGAAGGAATGTGGTGGAGGAAGCAGAACAGAAAGAACAAAGACGATACAGATGCATACATTCTCATTCAATGAATAAATTAAAATTATTTAATTACATTTTAACGCAGGCCCAAGATTTTCATTTCTTTCCTTTGTGTGCTGTTTTGATTGGTTGCTTCGATTCGTATCCGCAGCTCCCTAGGGTTTTCGTCTTCTTCCTGCCCTCATCTCTTCCGGTTGAGAATTTAGGTCAACGTTTGGTGGCCTTTGTCCTTCGCCCCCAATCCCCATCACACCAGTCTTTTCTTTCCTTTTCCACTTACCGTTTTAGTCCCCCAAGTTATCCTCTTTACCATTTCAGTACCTACCACTTTACGACATTTTCTCCTCGGCTAAATTGCATTTTTTCACTAAAATTACTTAAAAATTTCACGTTTGCCACTAAAATTAATTTTTTACATTCATAATTACTTAAATTAGGTTAATGGTTCAAATTTGGTCAATAGCCGTTAGTACTTTTGCTTATGTGGTGGTCAACTCTTATAGTTGACCGTTAAATGAGTGACGTGGAAATTAAAAAAATAATAAAGTCATAAAATATAATTATTTTTTATTTTCCACCTAAGAATTAAATAAAAATTCTAAATTCTCAATCCTTTAATTATTATTTTCCATTGCCAGACCGTCACCGTTCCTCTCACCTCCGGTCGCTGCAGAAAGAAGTTAACAACCCAGCCGGCGATAACGGCAATCCAAGCGAGCGTCCGAAGCCAACCGTCGACTCTCTGATACGTAAGCCTATGCTTGTGGTGGTCCAAGTCCTCCTTGTAGCAGCCGGAGACCTCCTCCGGCTACAGATGGTGAAAGACCGGGATGGCCACGTGGCCGTCGCTGCTCCGAGTGCTAGTGCAACACCGACCTCATAATGGTGACGAGCTCGTCCAAGCAACACTCCGACGAGGCCTAGTTGCGGGCATAGGCGGAGGGAGACCCATTGGGCCTTGTCCCGGGACAGGGGTAAATTTCGGAGGAACAAAAATCTGTCATATATATGTATATTGGTGATGCAAAACAACGCCTATAGGTAGTATTATTAGAATATTTTTCTCACTACAACACAACTCATCACTTATTCGTAAATTGACATAAAATTAATTTATTCAACTATAAACGAATTTTAATTGCAATAAAGATATTATGTAAGTTGATTGATGATAATTTTAGAGCAAATGATGATTTAGAGTGAATGATGATTGAATTAGAATGATGATATAGAGTGAATGTTGATTGATTTATGAATGAAGAATGATGATTTTGGTGGATGTTGATGATTTTGAATGAATGATGATGATTTAGAAATTTAGAATGATGATTTTGGATGAATGATGAATGATTTAGAAATTTACAATGATGATTTATAATGAAATAGTGAATGATGATTGATTTTGGTGAGTGATGATGATTTTGTGTAACTGTTGATGTAGGGCGAGACCTCCGGTTCCACGTGGTGAACATGGCGGACGAGGTGCATCTTCTGCTGAGACTGTTTCTCATGGTGGGAGACCTCTGGGTCCTCGAGGTCGTGGTGGTGCAGGTGCCTCAGTCCCTCCTGCTCAGAATCGGGTTCGTGTTGGACGTACAGGGAGTCGGCATGTTCAGTCTGCTGAACCGTCAGCGTCAGCATCAATTGCATCGACCCCTGCCCATGCCGGTAGTGGAAGTACACCTGCTGCTGAGACTCCTTCAGTAGAAACGGTTAATCCGGCTTCAAATAAAGCTAAAGACGATCCCTTCAATCTAGAGAAATGGTTGGAGATAAAGGGTACAGCTGATTGTTGGAAGGACTTTACGAAGGTGGCGCTGGATGAGTATCTGATGGGAGAGTGCATGCATTGTCATACTAAAATCAAAGCACATCCATCCAAGAACGACACTTTTGCAATGAATAACCATCGAAAATCATGTTTGGCTAAGGTTGCAGCATCCAGGGATCAGACTGTTCTGAACTTGCAGGCCGCAGATGGTAGTGGAAGTCAAGTAAGTGCTTTATGGAAGTTTGATCAAGCAAAAGCAAGATATGCCTTAGCCATGATGATTATTATGGATGATTTGTCTTTTCGCTTTGTGGAAAGAGACGGGTTTAAGCAGTTTATGCATACGGTTCAGCCACTGTTTAAGATACCTGGGAGGAGAGGTATAAGAGATGTCTGCTTCATATATTCTTGGAGAAAAAGATGAATTTGATAGAGTTTTTTTGAATCAAAGAGCAAAGGCAGAGTTTCAATCACCACAGATACGTGGACTTCTGACAACAACAAAAATCACATGTGTGTGACTACACCTGTCATGAATGAGGAGAATCCTCGGGTGAATCATTAAATTTATATAGCATGTGTGTTTGATCCTAGAAGTAAACTTGATCTTGTGTCTGAAGTGTTGGTAATGATTTATGGAAGTATCAAAGGAGGGGAAATTCAGGCTACTATTAAAAGGGAGATGCGCCAGATGTTTGAGATTTATAAGAGGAAGTATGGATCAGAGTTTGCATCTCAGCCTACCACTGATGATAACATTGCTGATGATGGTTCTGTTGATGGTGCTGGTGATCGGATTAAGATATTGGAGGAGAGGCTTAGAAAGAGAAAAAGGGAAGCACTTCTGATGGAAACAGGAGGTAGCACTGCTGAGCTTGACATCTATTTGAAATGTCAAACTGATGGCATCAATGAAGAGAGTGATGATGCAAAGTTTGACATATTGGAATGGCGGTCTCGACACTTTGGAATATATCTGATTGTTGCTGAGATGGATAATGATGTCCTAGTTGTTCCTATCTATTCTGTTGCCTCAGAGGCAACATTCAGTTGTGGCGGGCGGATTCTCAGTCCATTCGGGGTCCTCTTTGATCGACCTAATGGTGGAGGCATTGATTTGTGCTGAGGATTGGATAAGGTATCCCGGATCCAGGGAGATTGACGATAAGGAATTTGATGAAGAGAATTTGACTTTGGAAAGTAGTGAGTTCTCAAACTCTCTTATTGTTCTGTTTTTTGTCTTCATTCCACCTAATTCAATGTATGAATGTACTAACACTTTGTTTTCCTTTTTTTTTTCTTACTCAGTTAATGTCACTTTCCAAACTAGAATGGAAAGTGCAACGAATACTGGCAATGTTGGCAATGCAGATGCAAGCCTCAACATTCCAGTGCAGAATGAGCAGGAGGGTGAAGAAGATGTACCGGAGGAAGAGTATGTGAAAGATGGATATGATGATTATGGTCATGACTTGTTGCCCCAATTGAACGAACAGGGTTATGCAGATGTTGGTTCTTCTAAGGCTGGTGATAAGTGATGATAGATTACGATGTGTTGTTGATTTGTTGTTATCTAGAGGATTTATTGTGATTTGTGGAGTTTATGTTGTTGAATTAATGAATGTGAGACATTAAGTTGCTAATTTAGATGTATTTTCGATACAAAAGGAATTGAAATGTAGGTTTGAGATTTTAATTTTAGGCGCTTTTAGGCTTTCTTCCCTTGTTGTCCGGTCGGTTTTGACCGGTTACCGGTCGGTTAGGCAGCTAAACCGAACCGGCCTTCTCATTTTCGATTGTCCCGGTTAAACCGCACCTAAACCGAAAACTGGCCAGTCGGTTTGCGGCTAACTGGGGCTGCTGGGACGGTCGATCGACGTTGGCTATTGGTCATGTCTCGGTTTAACCGAAAACTGAGAATTTGGTTTTCGGTTAAACCGGAACCGACCGGTTGCCACCCCTAATCACGACTGTGACCACGCCGGGAGAGGACTTGCTTTTGCCTCCTCCTCCGTTTGATCCATCCGAGTTGGTGGAATTCGCCCTTCCACCTAATTATTATAAGAATTAAAAAGCTCGATCCATCGGAGTTGGGAATATCCTTCCCAAGCAGCGCATTTCCATGCTGGATTATCAACTCAAGCACAAAGGAGGAAGGGCGAGGAACGACGATGTCGCTCATTTTTTTAAATTAATAATTAAAAATTATGATTTTTAAAATTTTTTATAATAATTAGGTGAAAAATTAAAAATAATTATTTTTTATTACTTTATTATTTTTTAATTTCCATGTCACTCATTTAACGGTCAACTATAAGAGTTGACCGCCACATCAGCAAAAGTTAACGGAGACTAACGGTCAGTGACCAAACTTGAACTATTAACCTAATTTAAAGGGCTAATACCACTACAACACCCGAACTATCCCGAAAATGCCACTTGTGTCCTATTGTTTCCAATATTCCATCTGTGTCCTAAACTATTATTCCGTTAGTGTTGACCGGGGTTGACCGTTAGTATTTAACAGAAAATCTAGTCAGCATTGACATGGCATCTGACGTGGAATTTTCATTATCAATTTTCATTTATTTTTCCATCTAAAATAATAAAAATAATAAAAACAACGAAAACAAAATGAAAAATCCCAAAATCTTTTTAATCCCTTCGCCAGTCCAGCTCTTCTACCTCGCCGCTGCACTTCTCCTCTGCCGCCGCAACATCGCCCTACTACAAGAAGACCACTTGAATTTGCTTCACAGCTTCCTCGCGTCTCTGCTGTATAGCTGCAGCGCCCAGATAGCTAAATCGGCATAGGAGGAGTAAAGGAGGTGAATCATTTCACCATCGGTCGCCCAAAGAATCCAATCACCTCCTCCGCTATCCCCATACCCTCACTCCCCTCCGCCTTCTTTAGTTGTCGACGAAGGTGGTTGAAGCTGGCCCCTTCTGGGCTTTCATCACTGAGATCCATCCGCAAGCACCTCTTAGACGCCCTCTCCTCCTCACTTTAGCCGCATCCTCCTCCGCGGTGAGGTTTTTCAAATTTGCATCATAGATTTGAAATCCCAACCACCGTCGATCCTGGTCGCCACCACCTCCTAACCCTCTGTTCTGCTGCCCGTACCTAGAAACACGGTGGATTTCATCCAAATCCCAGCCACCGTGGGCTCTGTACAGAGGGACACCCTCCGCCTCCTTACTGAAACCATCTTCCCTCGTCTTATCTTTCATCCTTTTCCTTACCTTTTCTCTCTCTTTACAGCTGAATTCGCCCGGAATCTGGCCTTGGTTGCTTCTTCTTGGTCTTCAACACTGCTCAACGGAGGTAGGTGGGAAGGTGACAGTTGCCGGAATCTGGGTTTGCTGTCCTTCCCCATTTTTTTAATTTCAAGATCTGATGATGGAGTCTTTTGACCAAGAGTGATTAGATGGCGAAGAAGAAGAAGAATATGTTTGCAGGTTCGTCGCTTGGTGGAGGGAGACTCGATCCTCCTACCACTCTCGCTAGATCTGTTTTTTTTTTTTTTTCGAGACTTTCTTTGCTGGCCGCTGTTGTTCATGCTCGATGAAGAAATGGATGATCCTTTTTTGACAGAGGAAGAAGAAGAAAGGGAAAGTGCAAAGTCAAAATTTTCATTAATGTTGAGTTTACATTTTTTGAGTTTTTTAATATTATTTTTTATTTATTTTGAATATAAAATAAGAGGTGTCAATGACGTGGCATCTATGTGGCTGCCACATTTTTTGCCACGTCAGAAAAAGTCAACTTCGCGTTGACCACCATTTGGTCAACCGTTACTTTTAACGGTTAACGAAATTGACAGGATACAAATGACACAAAGTATTATAGTTGAGGAAATAAATGGAATATTGAAAAGAATAGGATATAAGTGACATTTTTGTCATAGTTCGGGTGTTGTAGTGGTATTAGCCCTAATTTAAATGACTACGGATGAAATAAATTAATTTTAGTGGCAAACGTGAAATTTTTAAGTAATTCTAGTGACCAAACCTGCAATTTTGCCTTTTCTCCTCTATAAGTTTCCTCCCATACGACTTAAGAGCTAACACATTTCTCGACATCACGTGCATTGCATCTAGGGGTGGAAATCGATACGGTATTGGTATTCTAATACCAAATACCTAAATTTCGAATACCGAATTACACCCTAAAATCAATCCCGATCTCAATCCCTGAATAATTTCGGCATCTCAATCCCTAAATATTTTGGTATCCCAATCGGTACTTCGGCATCCCAATCGGTATTGTCGAATACGAAATTAATTACATTTGCAATAAATAATTAAATATATAAATTAGATTTGATTGTTTAATATAGGACAAGGAGACTAAAGAAAGAGCCTTGGCTAGTGCTAGGATATGGATAATGACAATGGAGGAGAGGTGATATCTCAAGTTTTTGTCATTGGTGATCTTTAATTTGACGAATTGGAGGTTGAGAGAAGACTAATACTCATGTTTGTTTTTTGGTGTTATAAAAATAACAAGAGATTGGTAGTTGAGAGTCGTGTAGTAGTAAATGAGAGAGACTAGTTGAGAGGATAAAATACACACTAGATTATATTTCGGTATTGTTCGATATTTCGGTATATATTGATCCCAATTTCGTAATCCCTAATACGAAATAACAATTGAAAATGAATCACAATCTCAATCTCAAAAAATAATACGTGTATTCGATAATATCAAATATAGACAAATTCGGTACAATATTAGGTATATCCCAAATACCGGTACCAAACTTACATCCTAATTGCATATATGGTTTCCTTGACCGCATTGCACATAATGTACACACAACACCACATCAGATTATAATACGGAACGAACACAAGGTTGGACAAATACTTTATTTAATCGACAATAAATGTCATTCAACCGAAAATCTAAAAAAATTGTAGCTAATAGTGAAATGACGAACCAACAGACCTTTGCATCTCGAGCACAACTGGCCTGCGTTGTCGTCTCGTGTAGTCGTGTTGTCGATTATAGCTCTAGCCTCTAGCCTTTAGCAGTACTGTACATGACAATGGTAATGGATTAGAATGTAGAAATAAAAATTTAAAGGGACTGAAATGCAAGCAGGAACTAAAATATCCGAGACTTGGGTTCGGCAAGAAATACGAACCAAATTATTATAATTCTTTGGGCTTTGGCTCGTTATTTGCTGGCAGGCTAGGGCTATAACAGGTAGGGATGGCAATCAAACCCATGGCCGCGGGTATCCGACCGCCCCCGACCCAGTCAACGCGGGGAATCCCCGCTTTGACCGGGTATGGGGCGGGTATGGGTAAAACCCGCAAAAAGTTTGATGGGTATGGGGCGGGTATGGTTTTAGCCTTCCCCGCCCCATACCCATCCCCATACCCGACCCACCAAGATAATTTCTTCATATATAAAAAAATATGTGCATCAAATTATAATCTATCAATGATGATGAGGATAACTTGAGAAAAATAAATAGTAGAAATGCAATTGATTGACCACCTTAATCAAAATCTAATTCATTTCTCTCAATCTTCATTTCACTCTTTCACTTTCCCCCTTGTCAACAAGATTATGTTAGTTAATTATTACTTAGTAGATGTATCAGAGTTAGAACATAATAATTTGAAAAATATTATACTCTATATTATGTATTAATGATATTTTAGGATCATAATCTTTGAACCATATTAAAAAAATGACCGTGTTTTATTGACTTCATGATATAATATGTTCGTTTAGAATTATAATTAGAACTTTTCTTGTAAGTTTTAGGTATAATAATGTTGGATGTACGGGTATGGGTATTACCCATGGGTACCCGAAACCCACGGGTATAGGGATGGGTTTGCAAAACATTCCCCCGCATGGGTATGGGGTGGGCATGAGTTTGGGTATTTGAAGATGGGTATGGGGATGGTTTAAGCAAACCCGCCCCATTGCCATCCCTAATAACAGGCAAATCCAACGCACGTTTGCCTTTCTTTTGTGTTGATCGAATATCCCTCTATTAACGCACTGATCTATAATGATTTTTATTTTATTTACGTAATGATCCGCATTCCGCAATGATTTTCTGACCAATTTACAATTGGGTAAATAGTAGAGTTATAGAACTTTGAGACATGATGATAAATTTGAATTTGAGATTTTTTTTAGTTTGATTAAATACTTTATCATTTTGATTACTATTTTACTAGATAAAAGCATTGTTTCTTTGTATGTTTCTATTATTACTAAGCATGATTAGGTAAATAGAGAATGTCCTACCATCTATTATTAGTCGTCAATTCTAGGGCTGCCAAACGGTTTTGCGGTAACCGGTTTAACTGGCTATCGTACCGGTAGCCGCGGTTACCGGTTAAACCGGTTACCGAAAAAACGATGAGCGGCAGAGATTTTTTGGCTGGCGGTATGCCGGCACCTGGCATGCAGTTTACCGACGGGTTATCGATAATCTGACACCGAATGGGAAAGGGATTTTGTCAAGCGCACGGATCAGGAGAAAGAGAACGAAACGTCGGCCACCCGCCACCCCACCCTAAAAGCCCAGCCCTAACGATCAAAGCCAGCTGCCCTGCCATCCTAATTTCATCCCCTGTCTCACCGACGCCCGCCCCCGACTGTTGCACCACGAAAGAGTCCACGACCACGATCGCCGATCCCTTCTCCTCCGTTCACTTCATCGTCGTTGGCGTCGAACCCTCCTCCTCCGTTCACGCCAGCCGTCGAACCCAGTCGTCTCCGTCGCTAGCGACGGGAACAGGACTCAGCAGACAACAGCCCAAACCCCAAATCCAGGCTCTGTTTCCCGCAAGACAGGGGATCCGTTGAACTCCGTGAGACCGTCGCTGTCGCCGTCTCCGGTCTCCGTCCATTGTAAAGGTAATCTTCTCCGGTCCGGCTGTGATCCCTTACTTTCGTCGCTGTCGCTAGAGGTAATCAACCAGCCCTAGCCGTCGCCGTCTCCGGTCTCCGTCCCTTCTCCGTTGTGCCTGTGATCTCTGACTTTCATGAAACAATGAAATTAAAATTTTGTTGCCTACTTTGCATTTGTGTAATGTGTTAGAGACAAAAAAATTACGGTTGATACTATAATTGTTAATTTGTTAGAGACAAAAAATTATGGTTGATAATACCATTGGACATTGGTAGCCCTATGATTTGGTAGCTCGATTTTCTTTTGATTGGAATTGGAGGATTGGTTACATCGAGCGAGTCAGTTGACCTCATGCTTTGGGACTGTGGGGGGCAGTATGGATTATGTTTGCACATAGCTGTTGACTTTACGAGTAAGGTTGTCTTTGGAAAAGAGTGAAAGCAAAAGAGAAACCCCCGTTCAGGAAACTTGCATAATTGCATTACATCGACACTCATAGGGGAAAGCTGTCATCCATGACCATTGATACTATAATTGTCATTTGTCAATACTAAATTTTCATTGAATAATTGATGAAGCAAAGCAAGTAATTTAATTCAATTGTTTGATTATTAACTAATAATTACTAATTAGTTTGATTTAATTTTCATTTTTGCAGGTTTACATAGAGGCAGAGCCGAGCAAAGCCCCTGATCCCATCATAAGAACTTTTATTGTTTTGTGCTAATTTATTTACTTGAGAAACCAAGTACAAAAATGTAAGATTTAAGATAGTTGTTTAATGGTTAATTTTTTTACATGTTGGCAATTTTATGGTTTTTAATTTTTTACATTTTTCTTCTTGTTGTAGGATGAAATCTTCTCGTCCTCGTAAAGGAGATGCTTCGAAAAAAGGTGGTTCCATTCCTCCTCGAACCACTTCCAAAAAAGTGGGTGTTCGTGTTGGAGCTGCAGAAGGGATTCAAGGGAATGTCTCTTCTAGTACACCTACACCTACCAGTGCCATTACATCTCCACCACCTGCCACTGCACCTCCTGCAGCTGCCACGCCTACACAGGTGACTGATATGGGAAGGGGAGCAGATGAAGTGGGTGAGGCAAAGAAAATTGTGAAGGTGACAAAAAGAAAGAAGAAGTCCCCGTGGCGGACTCCTTATGATGAGGTTCTGGTGGATGACTACCCATATGGCAAATGCAAACAATGTGGAACGTTGATCAAAGCTCACTCGACCAATAACGGGACTTCTGGTTTGAAGCAACATCACTTGGCATGTGAGAGGAAGAGGAAAGAAGCCGGTGGTCAATCACTATTGAACTATCAACCTGGGGATGGTGAGGTAGGCTCTCTTACTCCATGGAAGTTTGATCAACAAAGAGCTAGAACTGCATTAGCTGTTATGATCATCTTGGATGAGCTGCCATTTCGCTTTGTTG